ATGCACACCTTATCCTTTATTTTGATTTTTTGGTTTTTCCCATGCACACCTTATCCTTTATTTTCTTCTTCTGAATTTTCCCATGCACACCTTACCCTTTATTTTGTTTTTTTTGGTTTTCCCATGCACACCTTATCCTTTATTTTCTTTTTCTGGATTTTCCCATGCCCTCCTTACCCTTTATTTTGATTTTTTTTGGTTTTCCCATTCCCACCTTATCCTTTATTTCATTTTCCCGAATTTTCCCATTCACACCTTACCCTTTATTTTGATTTTTTTTGGTTTTCCCATTCACACCTTATCCTTTTTTATGTTTTCCCAGGTTTTTCCAGGCACACCTTATCCTTTATTTTGGTTTTTTTTTGTTTTCCCATTCCCACCTTACCCTTTATTTCATTTTCCCTAATTTTCCCATTCCCACCTTACCCTTTATTTTGATTTTTTGGTTTTTCCCATGCACACCTTATCCTTTATTTTGTTTTTTTTGGTTTTCCCATGCCCTCCTTACCCTTTATTTTCTTTTTCTGGATTTTCCCATTCCCACCTTACCCTTTATTTTGGTTTTTTTTGGTTTTCCCATTCCCACCTTACCCTTTATTTCATTTTCCCATTCCCACCTTACCCTTTATTTCATTTTCCCATGTTTTCCCGATGTTTTCCAGGCTCTGGCTCCCAGGCAGGTGCTGGATTTGGAGGATTTGGTGTTCTCCCAGGGCAGTCACTTCATGGCCAACAAGCGCTGCCAGCTCCCGGACGGATCATTCCGGAGACAGCGCAAGGGCTACGAGGAAGTTCACGTTCCTGCCCTCAAACCCAAACCCTTCGGAGCTGACGAGGTGAATTCCCAAAGAATCCACAGCTCCAGAGGCTCCCAAAAAATCCCAGAGGGTCCCAAAAAATCCCAGAGCTCCAGAGGTTCCCAAAAAATCCCGGAGCTCCAGAGGTTCCCAAAAATTCCCAGAGGGTCCCAAAAAATCCCAGAGGGTCCCAAAAAATCCCAGAGGTTCCCAAAAAATCCCAGAGGGTCCCAAAAAATCCCAGAGGGTCCCAAAAAATCTCAGAGCTCCAGAGGGTCCCAAAAATTCCCAGAGGTTCCCAAAAAATCCCAGAGCTCCAGAGGGTCCCAAAAATTCCCAGAGGGTCCCAAAAATTCCCAGAGGGTCCCAAAAAATCCCAGAGCTCCAGAGGGTCTCAAAAAATTCCAGAGGTTCCCAAAAAATCCTAGAGGTTCCCAAAAAAACCCTTTTTAACCCTTTTAACCCTTTTTAACCCTTTTTTAACCCTTTTTTACCTCTTTTTAACATTTTTTACCCTTTTTTAACCTTTTTAAACCCTTTTCAACCCTTTTCAACCCTTTTTAACCCTTCCTAACCCTTTTTTAACCCTTTTTAACCCTTTTTAACCCTTTTTTAACCTTTTTAAAACATTTTTTACCCTTTTTTAACCCTTTTTTAACCCTTTTTAAACCCTTTTTTAACCCTTTTTAACCCTTTTTTGAGCCCTTTTTAACCCTTTTTACCCGTTTTTAACCCTTTTTAACCCTTTTTAACCCTTTTTAACCCTTTTTAAACCCTTTTTTAACCCTTTTTAACCCTTTTTAACCCTTTTTAACCCTTTTTAACCCTTTTTTTCCACAGGAAATTCCCACTTCCCCTTTTCCCACCGCTCATCCCGAGTTTCCCCTCCTGGGGGATTTTTTTTTCCCTGAACCCTCAGCTCTGATTTTCCCAGATATTTTTTTTATTTTATGGGAATAAATCCCAGAGTCACCCACAAATCCCAAATTTTTTTTCCCCGGGGAAAAACTTGAATTACCCCCAGAAAAAAAAAAAAAATAAGATTTTTCCCTCTAAAAAATTGGGAATTCTCCTTTTAGCACAAGAAGATTTTTAATTCCATTAATTTCCATTAATTCCAGATGTTTTCCCAGCTCTGAACACCAGGTTGGATTTTAAGGATTTGGTTTTTCCGTGAAATCTGAGAGGATAAAAAAAAATGAGAATTATTTTTCCCAGCCTTAATTAATTTGGAATTAATCATTTTTTAACGAGGGGAATTTTTCTGCACATCCACTCCTCCTGATCGGGATCACCCAGATCTTTCCCCCAACCCTTTCCCGATATCCACGAAACCCCAAATTCCTTCTTTTCCCTCTTTTTTTTTTTCCTTCCCAGCAATTGTTTTCCGTGGAAAAACTTCCCAAATACGCCCAGGCCGGGTTTGAGGGGTTCAAAACCCTCAACAGGATCCAGAGCAAACTGTTCCGAGCGGCGCTGGAATCGGATGAGAACCTGCTGCTCTGCGCTCCCACGGTGAGATTCCCAAAATTCCCGGAATTCCCGGAGTTCTGGGATGCTCTGGGAGCCGACAGGGGGAGCTGGAGCTCCCCTGGGGGGAGGAATTGGGAATTAATTGGGAATTAATTGGGAATTAATTGGGAGTTAGGGGAGGATGAGAACCTGCTGCTCTGCGCTCCCACGGTGAGATTCCCAAAATTCCCGGGATTCCCAGAATTCCCGGAGTTCTGGGATGCTCTGGAAGCCGACAGGGGGAGCTGGGGCTCCCCTGGGCAGAGGAATTGGTAGTTAATTGGGAGTTAATTGGGAATTAATTGGGATTTAGGGAAGGGTTTGGGATTGGGGAGAACATCTGGAACAGCTCCAGAGGAATTGGGAATTAATTGGGAATGAATTGGGAGTTAATTGGGAATTAATTGGGAATTAAATGGGAATTAATTGGGATTAAGGGAAGGGTTTGGGATTGGGGAGAACATCTGGAACAGGTCCAGAGGAATTGGGAAGTAATTGAGAATTAATTGGGAATTGATTGGGATTTAGGGAAGGGTTTGGGATTGAGTAGAAGATCTGGAACAGCTCCAGAGGAATTGGGAGTTAATTGGGAATGAATTGGGAGTTAATTGGGAATTAATTGGGAGTTAGGGGAGGATGAGAACCTGCTGCTCTGCGCTCCCACGGTGAGATTCCCAAAATATGAGAACCTGCTGCTCTGCGCTCCCACGGTGAGATTCCCAAAATTCCCGGAATTCCCAAAATTCCCGGAGTTCTGGGATGCTCTGGAAGCCGGCAGGGGGAGCTGGAGCTCTCCTGGGGGGAGGAATTGGGAATTGATTGGGAATTAATTGAGAATTAATTGGGATTTAGGGAAGGGTTTGGGATTGAGTAGAAGATCTGGAACAGGTCCAGAGGAATTGGGAGTTAATTGGGAATTAATTGGAAATTAATTGGGAATTAATTGGGAATTAGGGAAGGGTTTGGGATTGGGGAGAACATCTGGAACAGCTCCAGAGGAATTGGGAATTAATTGAGAATTAATTGGGAATTAATTGGGAATTAATTGGGAATTAATTGGGAGTTAGGGGAGGATGAGAACCTGCTGCTCTGCGCTCCCACGGTGAGATTCCCAAAATTCCCAAAATTCCCGGGATTCCCGGAGTTCTGGGATGCTCTGGATCCCAGCAGGGGGAGCTGGGGCTCTCCTGGGGGGAGGAATTGGGAGTTAATTGGGAATTAATTGGGAATTAATTGGGAATTAATTGGGAATTAATTGGGATTTAGGGAAGGGTTTGGGATTGGGGAGAACATCTGGAACAGCTCCAGAGGAATTGGGAATTAATTGAGAATTAATTGGGAATTAATTGGGAATTAATTAGGAGTTAGGGGAGAATGAGAACCTGCTGCTCTGCGCTCCCACGGTGAGATTCCCAAAATTCCCGGGATTCCCAGAATTCTGGGATGTTTTTGGGCTTTGGAAATTCTGGGCGGATTTTGTGGATTTTGGGGCGGTTTCTGTGTTTTCCCTGCTGATTTTGTGGATTTTGGGGCCGTTTCCGTGTTTTCCCTGCTGATTTTGTGGATTTTGGGGCCGTTTTGGGGTTTTCCCTGCGGATTTTGTGGATTTTGGGGCCGTTTCTGTGTTTTCCCTGCTGATTTTGTGGATTTTGGGGCCGTTTCGGGGTTTTCCCTGCGGATTTTGTGGATTTTGGGGCCGTTTTGGG